TCAACACATTAGTGTGGTATATTAGTGGATTTACTTTCCCTTTGCAGCTTTTGGTATGTCTTCGTATGTTAATTCGAAGGTGTGTCTATGAAAACATATCAAAGGATGAGATACAGAAGTTGTTTCCACCAGAAGTCCTACCTGAATTACAAAGATTACTCACCCTGCTCCTGCAGAAGTTTCAACGAGAATGGCGCGAAGATGTACTCAAAGATCAGGTCAATCTTTTTCTTCAATCTACATGGGATCTATGTTTCCCTTTGCAGCATATAAGGGATGGTTATGCAGTTATTTTTTACCTTTTTTTCTGTAGCATGTAGAGCATGATTATACAATTATATTCTTGCTTCAGATATAGTCAAGAGATTTGTAGTGATAGACAATCCTTCCATTTGCTCTTTAGTTGAGAAGCATCAATTTTTTTGCTATATCAACAAGCAACTGTAATGAACTCCATATTGACAAAATAAGTGCTGCTTTTCCTTTGAACACACTTTCTATTTGCAAATGATATAGAAAAATTGTAGGCCAACTTATGTCTTAATAAATTTTCTTTTCTGTTCTTCAGGTTTCTTTGCCTCGCCTGAAGGCAATGACATGTAATGTGGTAAATCAAAATCAAGATTCTGTGGAGCATGTTGCTGTTATGAATCTGAAGGTACAACCAATTAAGTGTTTTTTTTTCTTATTCTATGACATACAATATCCCTGACAACGTTGTCCAATTTGTTTTATTTTCAATCAGTTGACTAAAAACTGAAGGCAGAAAACAGGGCACACTGTAGATGTTTTCACTATTATTTTATCAAAGATATCAGTCCGAATAATTATCTTCTGAAGCCAATGAGAAAAGGCTATGCTAGTGTTACTCCTCTTGTTCTCAGCCTGAAACTCATATTTTCTATTGTTTACCTAGCCTTCAGTATTCAGAACTAGATATAGGTTTAGTTTATGTCTGCACAAAACTAGAGAAAATGAGAAGTTCTTGGCTGAGAATAATTTATATAATAGCCACCTCTGCACAATCAGATGAAATAAACAGTGATTGAGATGCCCATCTAGATCAATTGTTTGCTCCTGAGGTTTTGCAATAGAAATGAGTAATATGGCATAGTTATTCAATTGTTTATAATATGTTGTACTACACCCATTTGTTCATTTCTACCATGTCTGTAATAATGCTTTACTAGATCCACTGGAAATGAAAGCTTGTGCTCCTGTACATACCACTGATTTCAATCTTATTGGCTGTTAAATGCCAAGAAATTGTGGTTCTCACTATAGAAAAAACCAGATAAATTATGCTAATACTTTCGGAGTGGATATCTTGCAGCTCCAAGGTGATACACAGTCTTCATCAGATGAAACACAGGTTAAATTCCAATTGGCAAGAGATACCCTCGAGACAATGTTGAAGTCTATGTACTTCATAAGAGATCAAATGTCCAGTGGGGTAAGCTAAAATTTTACCTTGCAATCAATAGATAACTCATGCACCAACAGTCTCATTTTTGTTGATGCATTCACATGTTTAATGATTCGCTTCTCCAGGATGCTACCTCTAATGGACCTGGGCAAGAACAGGGAGCAGCCGAAACAGCCTTAACATAAAATCTTGGGATGCCTCGCCTATGTATTATAGTTTTCTTTCTTTGCTTAACACTGACATAATATTCTGTGTTCTTATTCTTCTCAATCCTGTGACTCTGGAATTTTGAAGCTACTTAGCAACCCTTTTGTTTCCCAACTAAACTCATCCAACTGTATGTATATGTGTGTAGCATGGGGACAAATACTGTCAATTAGGTTTCATTTTCAGAATGTGTTTAGATCATTTTCAATTTATTCTAGAAACAAAACATCTTATTCTTTTGAGAAGTAGGGAATTCATTGAAAACATGGATTATGTCCGAAACCATCCATACAATGTGCTGAACCGAGGTTGTGCCCTATATCTTCGTTGAGTTCTTCCAAAGAAATGTGGCTTACTAAGTTTATGAGAAATGTACATATCCCAGTGGTTAGTGCAGTGTTGTGTAGTTGACAAGTCTCAGGTTTGAAGCCATGTAAGATGTCTTGCATGCAGTATAAAGTATTACGGAAGGAAATTATATTTCTATATATATATATATATAATGTTTGTTCAATCAAGATGCATGTATATGCATATACACATGTAATTTGATTCATGGTGACCTCTTGCTGGTTCTAACCACTCTTGACATGCAAGGTTAAATCCACCCAATCTATTGATCCCACAACCTATGATGAACAATCAACCATCAGGTTGTATGTGTGTATCACAATCATATAATGATCCGACGAGAAAAGAATAGTATGAGGTGGAGAAAGAGGAGGACGAGAAAGAAAGAAGACCGAGGAAAGCAGATAAGGTAAGAAGAGAACGAGGTGGAGAAAGAGGAGGACGAGAAAGGAAGAAGTTGAGCAAAGAAGAGAAAGTAAAAAGAGTACTAGGTGGAGAAAGAGGAGGCGAGAAAAAAAAAGGAAAACTAGGAAAAAGAGTAAAAATTTAATCTTTTGGTTTATAGCTATGAGTTGTTTGGCATGAAACTAAGTGAGACATTTACACTCGTTTTATGGATATCGTTAATGATCTAAAAGCATTTGGTAAAATTTTTTTTGATTTTAAACTTCTTAACAAGATATTAAGATCTCTTCCAAAAATTTGGGATCATAAAGTAACAGCAATACAAGAAGCAAAAGACCTAAATAACTTTCCGCTTAAAAAACTTATCAACTCCTTGATGACCTATTAAATAACATGCATAACACATGATGAATTTGAGAACAACTTTCCAAAGAACAAGAAGGACATGACACTTAAAACCAAAGAAGGCCACTTGGGTGAAAAGTCAAGTGACGATGATGATGATGATGACTTGGCACTTCTTACAAGAAGGTTTAAAAAAATTCTTAAAAAAGAAAAAAACAAAACAAGACACTAAGAACAAAAATAAACTCGAAAAGAACCAAATAATTTGCTTCAAATGTAAAAAATCGAGGTATTTCAAAAATAAATATCCCCAAGTGAAAGAAAATTATCAAAGAAAAAGAAGACGCTCAAAGCAACTTGGGATAATTCAAGTGCATCCAAAGACGAAGAACCGATCAACAAAAATAAAGTTGTAAATTATGCTTTAATGGTGCTCAATGACGAGGTAAGTGACTCGATTTAATCTCATTTAGCTTATGATGATTTACTTATTGCTTTTAATGATCCATACGATGAATGTAAGCTGCTTGGTAAAAAATACAAGTTGTTAAAAAAGGAGCATGCTTCTTGAATTTGATAAATTAAAAAATGAGCATGATAATAATATGTTAGCTTCTTGCACTAAGTGTGATAAGATAGATTCACTTAAGAAAGAAAATATCTTACTATAAGAAATATTAATTTTTTTTAAAATAGGTAATAAATCTCTAAACATGATCCTTGCTAATAAGGATCATGTTCATAGGAAGGAATTGGCTTTGTGAGTAACACTCAACAAAAGCCACTTATCTTTATTAAAGGACCTACATTACACACGTTTTACTTAGAGAAAAATATAATTTTTATGGAAAATATGATCATTTTATCTACAAATGTCTATTTAAAAGGTCTAGTCCACATAAATTAGTTTGGATTGCTAAAGGAACCATAAATCATTCAATGATAGGTAGATTTATTTATGAGGGACCCAAGGTTAAATGGGTACTTAAAAGAAAATATTCTTTTTTTTAGATATATCTACAATTACAAGATACGAGCAAGAGATGATACCTTGATGGTGAATGCTCATGGTAAATGACCGGAGATTCAACATACTTCTCTAAGCTCACTAGTTAAGACAAAGGATTTGCAACCTTCGAGCAACAACAAAGAAAAAAATATTGACAAACGAAATATATGTAATAAATCAAACCTTTTAATTAAAAATATTTTATTAGTAAATGGTTTAAAATATAACTTACTAAGCATTAGTGTGATAAAGATTATAACATCAAATTTGAATATAATGCAATCTAATACTTGTATTATAGAAATACCACATATAAATAGATCTTTGATTGCCTTAACGACCACCGATGTCTGTGCTATTGATCTTGATGAGTTTTGTAATGAAACTTGATTTTCGGTTTTAAATGATGTTGCATAGCTTTGGTATAGAAGATTAGGTCATGCAAGTATGAAACTAATTTTATAAATTATAACTAAAAAACTAGTAAAAGATATGTCTAAAATTAAATTTATCAAAGATAAAGTTTGTGTTGCATGTCAACTAGAAAAACAAATAAAAAGTAGTTTCAAATTAAAGAATCAAATAAGCACCTCTATACCACTATAATTGATCGATATTGATTTATTTGGACCAATTGATACAACAAGCCTATGAGGTAGTAAATATGTCTTATAATAGTTGATGATTATAGTATATACACTTAAACATACTTCTTGGCACATAAAAATAATTATTTTAAATATTTTTAAATTTTTATAAATTAGTTTAAAATAAAAAGGGTTTTATGATTGCCTTTATTCGAAGTGATCATGGTAGTGAATTTCAAAATCATCATTTTAAAAATTTTTGTGATCTAAATGGGTATAACCATAACTTCTCCACTCTAAGAAACTCTCAACAAAATGAAGTTGTTGAGAGAAAAAAATAGGAGTTTACAAGAAATGATAAGAATATTGCTTAATGAGCATAGCCTACCCAAATATTTTTAGGCCGAAAATATTAACACAACATATTATGTCATGAACAGGGTTCTTGTTAGACCATTACTTTCCAAAATTCCCTATGAATTATAGAATAACAAAAGACCTAATATTTTATATTTTAAAATTTTTTATTGTAATTATTTTATTTTAAATAAAAAAATACCTTAGAAAAGTTTGATGCAAAATTCGATGAAGGCATTTTTCTTGGTTACTCATTTATGGCTAAAGCTTTTCGTATCTTTAATAAAAGAACTTTGGTTATAAAGGGAATCTATTTATATTATTTTTAATAAGCTTTTCAAATTTAATAAAAATAATTTTAATGTTTTAAATTTGTATGAAAACTCTCCTCCCCCAAGTAACTTGGATGCATGTTCTTCTAAAGAATCATTATCTAAAGATTAGAAGTACGTAGATGTTCATCCTAAGGAGCTAATAATTGAAGGCACATAAAAAGTGTTCAAACTTATTTTTCTTTTAAAAATTTTGTGTGAATGCAGCCTTTTTAACTCAAATTGAACCAAAATGCATTGACGAAGCCCTAAAAGATGATTCATGGGTTATTGCAATACAAGAGAAGTTAAATTAATTTGAGAGAAATTGGGTGTGGTAGCTTGTTCCCAGACTTAGTGACCATTTAGTAATTGGTATTAAATGATCTTTAAAAATAGTAAGATAAACTTGGTATCGTAGTTTAAAACATGGCTAGATTAGTAGCCAAATGTTGAAGAAACATTCGCTCTTGTGGCTAGGCTTGAAGCCATAAGGATTCTCCTTGCCTATGCTAGTTGTAATAATTTTAAGTTATTTCAAATATATGTTAAAAGTGCTTTTCTTAATGACTTCATTTTCGAAGAAGTTTATGTTAAACAATCACTCGAATTTGAGAATACCAATTTTTTTAATCATGTTTTTAAGTTGTCTAAGGTTCTCTATAGTTTGAAATAAGCCCCAAGGGCTTGGTATAAGAGACTTAGTTCTTTTCTAATTATGAATGATTTTTTGAAAGGCAAGGTTGATACCATATTATTTATTAAATATTTTAAAAATAATTTTTTTATAGTTCAAATTTATATTGATGATATTATTTTTAATTCTACGAACGAGTCTTTATGTGAATATTTTACCGGAAGTATGAGCCAAGAATTCGAAATGAGCTTAATGGGCGAATTAATTTTTTTTTAGATTGTAAATTAAGAAACTAAGTGATGAAATTTTTTAGTCAAACTAAATATGCTTTAGATCTATTCAAATGGTTCAATAGGTTAGTTGTAAGGCTATTAACGCACCAATAAGCACTTCCATAAAGTTAGATATGGACCATGATAGAGAAAATTTTAATCAAAAAACTTATAGGGGTATGATAGGTAGTTAACTATATCTCACCGCAATTAGACCGAACATTATGTTTAGTGTTGGATTATGTGCTATATTTCAATCTAATCCCAAGCAATCTCACCTAAAAGCTGTTAAGAGAATTTTTAAATATCTAAAAGGAACTCCTAATCTAGGATTATGGTATCCAAAATTTAAAAACTTTGAATTAATTGCTTATACCGATGTAGATTTTGCTGGATGTAGAGTAAATAGAAAAAACACATCACAGACATGTCAATTTTTAGGTCATGCACATGTCTCTTGGTCTTCCAAGAAACAAAACTCGGTTGCATTATCTACGGCCGAAGTTTAGTATATAGTATTCAGTGCATATTGTGCTCAAGTTATATTGATAAAAAATATATTAGAAAATTATGAAATTCACTTAAAAAATATATCTATAAAATATGATAACACTAGTGCAATATGTTTAACAAAAAATCTCATTCAATACTCTAGAACTAAATATATTGACATTAAATATTATTTTATTAGAGATCATGTTAATAATCATGATATATCTTTAGAATGTATTGATACAAAACATCAATTAGTTGATATTTTTATAAAACCTTTAAACGAGGAACAATTTGATTTTATTAGAAGAGAATTAGGTACATTAAATTTTCCAAATACATGAATTCCTCTATACATTTTTTTGGATTTTTCGTAACTTGAGTTTTCTTTTTAAATCGAGATCGTTTCCTTCGTTCCTTCTTCTTGCAATTCACTGAAGAAGAGATTTAATTCATGAACTTTTGGTAAACTTGATCTTTTATGAATCCTTCTTCCTTCTATTTGTAAGAATTGAGATTTAATTCATGAATTTTTAGTATGCATATTTTGATCTTTTATGATGAATCATTTCTCTTTGCGATAGTAAAAGCTTGATTAAATGAAACTTATTTTTAATGGATTTGATTTGGTTCAAATTCTTTCATGGATTTGGTTTTTATAATTTGATTTTTCTTATGATGAATGAATTCATCCTTTATTAGAAGAGAATTAGACATGTTAAATCTTCCAAATGCATGAATTCCTCTATATATTTTTTGGATATCTTGATTTTTCATAACTTGAGTTTTCTTTTTAAATCGAGATCATTTCCTTCGTTCCTTCTTCTTGCAATTCACAAAAGAAGAGATTTGATTCATGGATTTTTGATAAACTTGACCTTTTATAAATCCTTCTTCCTTCTATTTACAAGAATAGAGATTTGATTCATGAATTTTTAGTATACACATTTTGATCTTTTATGATGAATCATTTCTCTTTGCGATAGTAGAAGCTTGATTAAATGAAACTTATTTTTCATGGCTTTGATTTGGTTCAAATCCTTTCATGGATTTGGTTCTTATAATTTGATTTTTCTTGTGATGAATGAATTCATCTTTTATTCTTCTTCCTCTTCTTATTTTTATGACAAAAGGAAGAAAGAAACTTGCACATGAAGAACCAAAAAATGCTTGCACATCTAAAGCAAAAATGATAACTTGCCCATTTCAAAAGCAAAATTAGTTATCTTATAAAGTTTTTGCTTGTTTGCATAAATGGATGAAAAAATTAGTTGTATAGTTTACAATACTTGCACAAATTGTTGAATGATTCTTCCTTTTGTTGATGACAAATGGGGAGAAACGATGAAAGTTTTGAAATCACACCCAAAATAATGTTAATTATGTTATTATGCATGATGTGATGAAATTGTGCATGTTATACTTTGATGACTTGAAAGTATAATGATGTATTGAAATTTTGGTATGATATATTATATTTGATCACTATAATCGAAATTGTTTCACTTGAATTCAAATGTTGTGATTCATTTTAAATTCAAGTATGTTTTATCTCAATATGACATATAGATAGGGGGAGTTAAGGTTAACTCCGTCATCAATTGGTTGTCATCATCAAAATGAGGAAGATTGTTGAATCTCGAATTTTGATGATTAAATCAATTTATGAATTAATAATCTAATCCATGCATTGAGATAAGTGATGCCGGACTAACTATGATCATGAGATAGTCAAAATGATTAAAGAAGAATCCAATGATGGGTCGGAGTTGATGATTGGGCATCGGGTCGGATGAATCAGGTATGATACACCAAAGGATTTGATGATGTAGTGAAAGCTCGCTGGAAGTTTATTAGAAGTTCGTCGAAAACTCGTCGGAAGTTCACCAGGAGTTTACCAAAAGCTCGTCGGAAGATCGCTGAGAGTTCTCTGAAAGTTCACTAAGAGTTCGATCGAACAATTGACGCGTTGGACAACTTAGATTCCTTGTATCGTAAATTGTTTTAGTCTTAACTATCATAGTTATGACTTTAATTTGAGTTAGTCTCGAGAGAAATCCTACTAACTCAATTAAGGGCCAATTGAGCTCTAAATAAGATTGAATTTGACCGATTGGATGGCTCATTCAGCCACTTGGAGCCTTGTCAGATGGTGGAACCGCCTGAGGCTTAGCCTTTTAGGTGGTCTAAGTGATGGTACCGCTCAAACCAGATGGTGGTACCACTGACAGTTAATGCTGCCATGTTGTGGTATCGCCCTGTTAGGCAGTGGTACCACTAGGGCTCGTCTGAGACTCTGTCAGACGGTGATACCACCCAGTATCAGTTTGCAAGCGATGGTACTGTCAGTACCCCAGAAACCTAGAATAAGATACTTTTATTCTATTTTTGAAGCCACTGGGGCTTATAAATATCACACTCTTTCGTGCATGAAAGAGCACGTAAAGTATGAACAAAAGTCTTGAGATTTTGATTGTAAAAGTGTTGAAAAAGTGCTAAATGTCCATCTCTTCCTTCTTTAGTCTTGTGATCAATCTAAGAGATGTATGAGGCTTATAAAAGATTGTCTTCTAAACCTGTAAAACAAAGAAAGTGTTGTAATAGGGTGGTTAGTCTTCGTCCATTGAAAGAAAATCGATAGTGGACATCAGTGGCCTCAACGGAGGAGGAATCGAGAATGAATATAGGTTACAATAATCGAACCACTATAAAATGGGTGTGCACTTTCTTGTTGTTTTTCATTACTGTTGTTTTCTACATTAATTGCTTATCACTCTTATTCTAAGTCAAGCACACTTTCGAAAAAAAAATTCGATATATTTTTATTTATTCCAAAGTTTCGAATCGATTTAATTTTTATAATAGCACTAATTCACTCGTCTATTAGTATCGATCCTAACAACAATAAGATCTCTTGAATGAGATACGAAGAAGACTCACGTATGTTTTTTTCTTTTATTTTTTAAGATTCCAAGGTGATTTGCATACTAGTTAGCTCACCCGAATCGATATGTACATGCAATAGCAAAATAGAAATCTCACATTCACTATAACAATCTATATAGTAAGAGTGACATCTTTTATATTAAAAGGTTAGAAGTTAATATAAAAAAAATCATACCTTTTACTTTATCATCTTTAGTTTATAGTTTCACTCCCAAAATGCTTTTAAAATGAAACGATTTTGAGGATTAGACCTTTACTCCCAACTAAAAAAGAAATTTTTTTTTTTAAATATACAAGATTTTTTTGGACATAATTTGAATTTAGTGACCCACGATATATGGTTGCACAATCCATATTGAAAGATATTATCCTCTTAACTTTTTACGGATGTGAGACTATATCTCATTATTATATATTACATTCACATTTGATGTCAACCTGAATAAAATATATATATATATATATATATATATATATATGTTAAAATAAAGCTAGTCATTAGCACCAACATTATAAATTGCAATGATCACCCTATGCCAACTAGATAATCTCATTTTGTTACACTTAAAAACAAAAAATTGAAGGCAAAATACATCACCAACTAATTATAATTATAATAATAATAATAATAATAATAATAATAATAATAATTATTATTATTATTATTATTATTATTTTCCTCTCAAAAAATTAAAGGCAAAAAAAAAGGTGGGACCCACACCTAGAATGACATTTTTTTGTTTTCCCTTCTTTCTTTTGAGATGTAATATATATTTTTTAGTGAGTTGTTGGGTTAGGGTTAGGAATTGCTATAAATGACACCCAAAAGTGACCTTCTTCCCCCTCTTGTTGGGTATTTTGGTATTTGGGCGACTTGTGTGGGCTTGGGTGGGGTTTTCATCTCATATTTTGTGGTCGTCTCCGTTTCGGAGTTGGGGGGAAAACCGAATTGGAGACGTGAGCGCTTCAAATCCCCGCCATCCCCCGTCGATTTCATCCCAATCGGTAATCTCTCCCTCTCCTCCGCTCCCCCACCGCGGTTTCGCCGATCGTACTTCGCCGCCTGTCACGGCCGCTGCCCGCAAAACCGCGTGCCGTTTAGGGTTTCTATAGGTTCGCGCGCTCCGAAGACTTCTGCCGCGTTTGCTGGCCTTCTTTGGGTGCGATTGTTCTCCGGGCTTTCTCGTTGCTTCTCGCTGAATACGTTCGTTCTCTTCCTCCCGAGCTTTGTTCTCAAGTTTGGTGTTTTGGAACCAGGAGATCGTTCCGGTTTAGCTCGTAAATTGGTCTTAACGCCTTCTTTGCAATGCCAGCATGTTGGAGTTCGTATATGTCGTTTTTAGTTAGAATGTCGAACTTTGGTTTCGTTTCCCCTGGAAATTGCTTCCTTTTGTGTTCTTCTTCCGGGGGAGACGATCCGATGAATGTAGTCAGGATGAAACTTCTTTTCGGTCAATGTTTGACTCTTTACTTTCCTTTTATTATGTTATTAGGGTTGAGGCGATTCGTTGGTCTGCTGTATCGAAGGAATTATGCGAGTTTCTAACTGTTCTGTAGATTAAGTTTACTTTGGCCTCGTGCAGTGAGATGTAAGAGGAAAGGAGAGCATTCTGATTGTCGGAAAGAAGGTCGGAGAATGGAATGCAACAAGGATGAGGCCCTCAGGGCAAAAGAGATTGCTGAAAAGAAGTTCCTGGAAAGGGATTTAAATGGTGCCAAGAAATTTGCCTTGAAGGCACAAAATCTCTTTCCGGCACTGGAGGGCATTTGCCAGATGATAGCAACTCTAGATGTTTATCTTGCCTCAGAAGAAATAGCTGTCGGTGAGAAGGATTGGTATGCAATTCTCAGTCTCAGTGTTTCGGCAAATGAAGATACAGTGAAGAAACAGTATAGGAAGTTGGCTCTCCAGCTTCATCCTGACAAGAACAGATCTGTTGGTGCTGAAGGTGCTTTTAAGCTCATTTCAGAGGCATGGAGTGTCTTATCTGACAAGTCTAGGAGAATTCTGTACGACCGAAAGAGAAGTGCTAAAGGGTTTTCACAGAAGACTTCCCAACCAAACAAAAATAACAATGTTCCTAGTAATGCAAATGGGTTTTATAACTTTGTCAACACTGCTGCATCAAAGGCACAGACTGTGAAGAAAAGCACTTATGTGACTCCAGCAACTGTGCATCCTTCATCTGAGCCTCCGGTGCCAGAAACATTTTGGACATGTTGTAATAGGTGCAAGATGCAGTATGAGTATCTGAGGTGGTATCTTAATCATACTCTTCTTTGTCCAAACTGCTATGAGCCCTATCTAGCTAAAGAAACACAGAGTCCTGCCAATGGTTGTAATTCCTCGGTCCCTTGTTCTGCTTCTCAGCAGCGTCACTTAAACTCTGACCATAACACAACTAGCAAAAATGCTCATGGTCTGGGGAGAAGTAATTCAACTTTTCCAGGCATGGGAACTTCAAGATTCCAGAATGGAGCAAATCTGGGTTCATGCAAAAACTTCCAGTGGGGCCCTTTTTCTAGAACTGCAGGAGTTGCAAGTGTGATTGCCTCATCAGCTGCCACTGCACAGGCTGCAAATCTCGACCATCAGACTTATGACAAAGTGAGAAGAGAGCATGAAGAGACAAAAGCAGCAGCTAGGAGGGATGATACTATTCACAGGAAGAATAGTGCCCCAAAGAGGAATGCTAATGCATGTGGGATCCTTAATGCAGGACCAAATGTTAGTTTACCCACAAAAAGAGGACGAGGCATTGGTGATAACTCAACAGAACAGCTTGGTGCATCTGAAACAAATAGGATGAGTGGAGTTCTTGGAGACTTTAAGTTCAGAATGGGTGTGAGACATGACAACTTAGGTAGAGAATTTTCTCATATGGATATTCGAACTATGTTGATTGAAATGAGTAAGTTAGCAATCGATAAGAAGATAGCAGAGTGGAAATCTGCTGCCACTGTGAAAATTGATGCAAAAGAAAATGCTAAAAAGAAACAAAAACTGGGTGAAACTGACAAAGAAGAGGTAAATGATGTGGTTCATGGGGATGCCACTAATCAAGACAGATCAGTTGAGTCTGTGACCAACACCAAACAGTTTACCATTGAGAAGAATTCATCAGATGTCCAATCTGCTGATTCAGATAATGAGAACAATGAACCTGTGTCGATTGATGTTCCTGATCCAGATTTTCATGATTTTGATCATGACCGTTCTGAGCGATCTTTTGGAAGTGATCAAATATGGGCCACTTATGATGACGAGGATGGTATGCCTCGTTATTATGCGCTGGTTCAGCAAGTTATTTCTTTGAAACCTTTCAAGGTGCGCATGAGCTTTCTCACTTCAAGGTCCAATAGTGAGTTTGGGCCTCTGAATTGGGTTGCATCTGGTTTTGCAAAAACCTGTGGTGATTTCAGGATTGGACGATATGAGGTGAATGATACAGTTAATATCTTTTCACATAAAGTCAAGTGGGAAAAGGGTCCCCGTGGTGTCATCAAAATTATTCCAAGAAAAGGTGAAACCTGGGCTCTCTACAGAAATTGGTCTCCAAAATGGAATGAACATACTCCTGATGATATCATCTATAAGTATGACATGGTAGAAGTCCTTGAAGACTATAGTGAAGAAGAGGGTGTATCTGTAATCGCTTTAGCAAAAGTATCTGGATTTAGAACAGTATTTCGTCGTCACATGGATCCAAAGGAATCAAAGAGAATCCCAAAAGAAGAAATGTTTCGGTTTTCACATCAAGTGCCTTCTTATTTACTGACTGGTGAAGAGGTTGAGAATGCTCCGAAGGGTTTCTTTGAGCTGGACCCTGCAGCAACTCCTTTGGAGCTTCTTCAAAAAATCTGTGAAAGCAAAAAGGAAGTGGCATTGGAGGCTGTTGAACAGGCAGTCAACTAGTAGCTGTTGCCTTGGTATTTGTTAGAACTTTCAGAATCATGTCAATCCAAGTCCATTTCGACATTTAGTTTCTGTTGCTGTATAGTATCAAAGGGTATATAATTTCAAAGATTTTACAGTTGGCGACTGGGACAAAGGTTCTGGATGAAGAGTTGTTTTTGCAGTTACTTGTAATAGGTGTCTGGCAATGGTTTTGTCTGCAATAGGAAGATAGCTGAGACTTCAAAAAAATCCGTTGAATACAGATTGCAGAGATTAAAGACTTTGCTTACTACAGCTTTTGCAGGTGTTTCCTTCAGAGATTGATACTTTGCGATTGGTAAGATGACCGCCACAGTCTCCTATTTATTGTACTTGGATGATTCATGCAGAATCTGTATATATTCCACTAATTTTCTATTTCTTCGTGATGTCCTTCTTGTATTCTTAGGTGAAGAAAATTGCATTTATTTTTTCTTTTATTTCTTTTATCTGGCATACTTTTTTTCTCATAGGAGACTGAAACCACATCCTGATGCTACTTTATTAAATGTTGTTTTCCTCAATGTCGTTAAGTATTACCTTAATGGCATTTTCATGCTGAATTGGTGGACCATAATTATCAATTTTGATATACACTTTCTTGTTCGTTTTCTGGAGAGGCATAGCTATTTGTTGTCTTCTCATGTCTTCTGGAATGTTATTAATTTTGATATACTCATTCATGAACGTTTTCTGGAGAGGCATAGCTATTTTTATCCTCATAGATGCCCAGATTGTTATCTATGTGGGAGTTATAGCTGTTGGCTTGAGATGCTTGCAAGCAAGCAGCACTATGTTGATCACATTTGCCAAACTTAAAGTTTGAAGGCTTTTAAAGAATTGGATCCAGATTGAATGAATCCTGTTTTACTATATATGTAAGTGCTCATCTTCTAGCTCATGAGTGAATGAATATTTATGGAGTTGAAGCATGCTGTTCCTCTGCATGTGAGACAATTGATAATCAACAGTGGATCTGTTTGAATGTCTCCTCCCCTATTTTTTAATATTCTTTTTTTTCTCTGCCCTTCCTTCTCTTCTATTTTTTACTGTTGGATATAAACCTGCCCCTGACCCTTTTACCTAGACATGTTCGAAGTTCTAAGTAATCAAATAAAACATACCAAAGACAACTGACCATTAAAAATATAAGTCACTGCTACCAAATTGCTATAATAACAGACAATAGCTACATAACTGCATGGCATTGCTACAATATCACAGATTACTGCTACAACACCATCGTCCTCCAACATGGTATATCTACCTTCATGGTTGTGTTATTAACCCATCCAGCACAAACAGAATCTGCTATCACTAAATTTAGCTTCAAGGCCAGTTGTTGGATAAA